ATCCACACAAGAGATACAATACTCATCCAATTTCTCAAAGCACAAGCAAATTAAGAACCCTAAATCCCACATGTATTTTGTCAACATAACAACTCAAGATAATAAGCAAAAGATCATCAAAAGATATAATTTTATTGTTCCAAATAAAGCACTAGATTTTTTGAATCAAGAACAATGGAATATCAAGGGAAAAATCTATATTTCTTGAAAACAAGGGTTATGAGATCAAAAACAAGGATTTTATTGCTATCAAACCATAACTTCATTCAAAACATGACATGATTTGCAAGAACATCAAGAAACAAGGATTTCATAACAAATATCTATGATTGAGAGTCAAAATATACATATATATAATACCTAACCTCAATGGATAAGATTAGGAAGAAACTCCTACCTTGCTTTCGTAGTTATACATATACATATATATAGATATGACACTCTTATGAAGTAGAAAACATCATAAAGAGTTTGTTGGAGTTGGATGCGTCAGCGGGGGTGTGTGTGAGAGTTGGACATCAAAAAATGTGTTACTTCATATTTTGAGAGAGAGAAATCATTCTTGTCAACCACAAATATAACCCATCACAAGCAGTAGGCCTTTTTTGGCACTTAAGATCTATGATTGAAGCTACTCTCTACTAGAAGTTTGTCTCTCTAGTTCCATCAACATTCCCTTTTATTTTTGTAAGTTGTTTCTCAATCTTCTTCCTTGACTTACCAATTGAAACCCAAACCCAACTCACCCCCAAGTCAATACAATAAAGTCATGCATCATTTCTCCTGCAAATAAAAATAGATCCACAGCTCAATATTTGTCTATTTTAGTCCAAATTGAGTATTGGAACACTAATTAACTCTACCAAATAAAGGTCATCCTTGAATTTAGAACCCGAAATTGAATACTCAAAGATTTTATTTCATTGAAAATCAAGAATCAATGTTTGTTTATATGTTAACCGAAAGGATAAATATAATAAAAATCCAATAAAAGTGTGCCTTATTTTTACCCGCTTTATCATTATACTCATTTTCTTCATGTCTTGCTCAGAGTCATAGTAGCCCAGTACTGCAAATTGTTTACATATGCACCATTGGGGTGGTTACTATTATGACTTCCATTCATTTGTCCACACTAAGCTCAGCCCGGGTCCAATGACTTTTTATATGTCAATGAAAGTATTAATATTCAAAAAACTGAATGGAAGTCGAATAAATGTTTAAAATGTTTTCAAGTCGTCAATTTGCTTCCCTCTCTATTTTCTTTGGGCATTGACCTTAATTTTTTCCTTAATGCTTTCATGAATCAATGCATGACAGGATGAATATTTCACTGTTACTCATACTTGCTGTATTTTTCACTATCGTTGGATTAGCAGTGTTTAACTACTATTATAATGAGATTGAAAGATTTTTTGAAAGGATAAACTTTGACTTAAATGCAAGGTTGAAATTTATGTTTTATTGAGATTTTAACTATTAAATATTTTGCAGTGCGTAGCTTGGATGAAAACAACATATACAAAAGTTAATTTTGAGTTCTTATTCGCTTTCATTTTATTCAATATATTAAATAACATTATTTATTTAATTTCAATATTTTTTAGACTAGGTCATATCATTGTATAAAGAGGTATGTTTGTTTTGTATTAAACTAAATTTATTTTATGGTATGTATTAATCATGTATTATTCTAACTTAATTATTGTGTTTGTAGAAAGGTATATTTGGTGTGACTCTTTTGGTGAATTGGATTTTGGAGGTTGGAGTAACGATATTCTGTTCAATTGTGAGCGGAGCAAGATTAGCTAATCTTAAGATTGCGCTGACAATTGTTAATGCGTTGTTTACCTTTGTGGTGATCGTGATAACCGAGTATAAGTGAAAAAGCAAGATAAACAAGGGATATATTCTTTGAGTGGTAAAGACGATATTACTGGTGTTTTGGTCGTTATGCATTTTTGTTCTAGGATTATGAAAATAGTTGTCAGAGTACGTTTAAATCGTTCGTTTGATTTTTCTGGGGTTCCTATTATTTGTGCTACCTTTATGAGTTTCTTTGAAGTATTTGAGCGTGAAAAGAAGTATTTGCTATATTGTCAAAAAAATCAGACATTCAAACTCGAGAGAATTCCACCAGAGATATCGGGGGGAGTATTGCTGATGTGCATGCATTGCACATTAAGGGTTTGTCAAAAAATGGAGGGTGTTTAAAAGGAGGATGTCCGACTAGTTATATCAGAAGAAAATGGGATAAGAAGACTAGTCAAGACCACAAACTGAGTCTCATATAAATATTCTCTTACTTTTTTGGAGGTAAAGTCTAGCAGTCTCAATCTTATAAAAATCTGGGTGCTACTATAATAGTCTTGGATTTTTTGTTTTAATTATAGATGGAGTTAGTTTTACCTCCGTGGAGTTGTTTGCCTACTTATTGTCATATTGACGGGTTTTTGGTATCAATCACATATGACGTAGTTAGTTTACCGTGAAGGAGTTATCTCCCTGTATACATTTCAAAATCTTCTCATGAACCAGTAACATTATTTTTGTTTATTGTACACTAAAGGCTAAATATGTTTATAGGAAAAGCATTGTTAGACCCACATCTCTCTAAGTATTTAGTTGTTATTGTTGGTGAGGCTCATTAGAGAACTGTCCAAACTAATGTATTGCTTTTCTTTCAAGGCGTTAGTCCATCTGGTGTTTTACTCATAAAAATGCTTCCATACCCACATAGCTTCTATTCAATTGTTCTAAACATTTAATGAAACAAACAATGTACTTATTTTTAGCTTGAGGCAATAATATTTATACCAGTGTTGTTCCATTACAATACAATCATAGTTTACTTGAATTTTCATATACGGAGAAAAACATGGCCAAGACAGATTGGGCAGGAAGACATATATATATGAGTACAAATATTGTATTAGAAAGTTTACATGACACTCTTATGAAGTAGAAAGCATCACAAAAGCGTTTGTTGGAGTGAGGTTCGTTTGTCATTCGAGTTCTAGAAAAATTTGGGTTTTCAACCCATACTTTAGCGGTGAATTACCGTTTTGTCTTTTTTCATAAAAATTCAAATTTTCCAGTTTTACCATAAATTTAGAATCCAACTGCAAGTGGTCCCTGGTAATGATTGGAATAACACATGTATGAGAGCCACCATACTTCTTAATTTCGACATATAACGTACCTTTAGGAATTGACGAACGTACGTAATCTCCACGGACATTGTGGTGCTTGTGTGCACTTCAACACCCATAAACTAGTAGTAGAATATATGACCACATATTGTTGATGTACCTTAACAAAATCCAAATTTATTGTATTCTACAAATCCTCTTTAGTTGAAAACTTCTGGCCAACGTACAAATCTTCCCCTTTATCTGGTAGAGTAACTTGTTGCCATGGAGACAATTTGTCAATAATTGCCTTACCAATCAACATTTGTAAACTCTAGAGTTGATGCCTCTTTATACACTATAGTAGTCTCGTATAGTTCCATTTCCTCCTTCGACTCGTGATCAAGGTCATCTAGCACATTATTATTAATATACGTGCCTTCAATCACACAAGTACAACCCTACCTATTAACCATATGTTCTATCACATTCACACTTGTAGCATTTGACAATTCATTAACATAATTATCACCCAACAATCCTTCTAAAGTGTGGGAACCATTAACCCTTATAGATTTAATTTTGTCAAAGTTTCTCCCAAGATCACAACTCAAAAGAGAAGCCCTCAAGCATGAGTTGATTATCAAACATGACACCACACCTCTACCTTCAATTGAATCCACTGCTTCATATTCTTGAGTGAGCAAATGTGTGAAAGAATAATTACGTATAATGCAAGTTGACACTATTTCTAAGTAAAATTCCACACAATTAATCCCGGGCTATTTTGTCACTCCAAAGACAATATGTACAGTATTATCATCCTCCACCCATAAAGCTATATACTCTTGGTAATCACCTGGAAGACAGACAACGAGAGATTTGTCTTTTATGAATATCGTAGTCTCAACGTGGATGGTCTATCTTTGATTGGACTGGTGAAAGAATTAATCGAGGTACGCCTAGACAGACTCGAACACTCATGACCATTAAACAAAAAAAAAATTTGAAATATTCTGTATTGACTAATCTACTTATTTTTGTTTCCCTAAGTGTCCCTTAACAACTTGCCTTCTTTTGAAAGTCAACATGATCTGAAAATACTTTTTGAATAAGAAATAAAATCACCTAAAATAATAATGCAATTTAACTTATTTAATTGTGAATTTTGAAGACTAGCACCTCTTGTTGATTACAATGTTGTTTTTGTTGCTACAATTTTCTTTTCAGATCAAAAAGTTCATACTTTGGATTTATTTATCCGGAAATCACAAAAGATGGACTTATGGTTCTTTTTTCACATACTTCACGTGGAGTAGATATTTAGGAATGAAAATTGAAAAGTAGTAAGCCCAAAAAAAAACCAGCAAAAAAAAAAAAAAAAAAGACAAAAACGTTTCTCTGGCCCCTCTCACTCATACCGATCCATGTATCCAACGTGCCTCTCGCGCACGCCTACAAGCAGAGTTTTCCTTGCAAACCCTAATACCCACATTTCCATCGGTCTTCGAGCTCTCTGTCTTTCAATTGTCCATTGTTTCTAAATCAATTCGACAAACGCATTATTTTTGTGCATCATAATCGATTGAAATCTGATCTTGTTTCGAGTTTTGAAATCGAGTTGCTTTGAAATTTCAGTGATGTCTAGGGTTTCAGAGCTGCATTGAAGATAGATAATGGTAAATTTTGTTAGGGTTTGTGTGAATCGTATGGGTAAGCAATGCGAGAGCTGCGCAGTGGAGTACGAAAACACCGTGCTCCAGTAGAACCACCCCTGCAGCAGTGTCGCCGCCAAAACCAGCCTGCGAAGAAGCTAAAACAATCGGAGCATCTGGTGGGAAATTATATAAAAACCAGGGCCGCCAAAGCGAAAGAAAAAGGGAAAGAGGCGACCGAGGAAGCGGAGGCACTGAAGCCTAGGCGACAAGCAACGAAGAGGAAGGGGAAAGAGGTCGTTGTGGCTGAGGAGAAGGAGGGCTCAGGAGAGAAAAAAGGTGATAGTTTCAAGAAAGAGAAGATGGGGGATGAGAGTGGAGGGTTGAGTGCTAATAATAATAAGGGTACTGGCCAGGAGGAAGAAGGGAACACTGCACCTTTTCCTGAGAGGGTACGACTCTGTGTGTGTGTGTGTGTGTGTGTGTGTGTGTACATACATCTGCTTATTGTGTGTGCAGTACTGGGCTAAGATGACTTTTATATTTTATAGTTTACTTGTTATAATGAGTGGGGCAATTTTTAATTTCAAAAATTGATTCTCTAAAAGGTATTCCAACCTCCATTGAATTCGTTAGTTGTGACAGTCTAAAGAGTTTTAGTTTATATGTCGTTGTGAATCTTCCTTTGCAGTGAAAGCACCTTTTGCTATGTCATGAATATATCAAAGAGCATATATTTTAGCATGCAATTAGTGATGGAACAAGAGTGGTCTTATAACTATTATTATCTTTTTGGATGGGCGGGGTTTTGTCAAGCCTGTACGAGGAGTGAGTTACAGTGAAGTCTTTGCTAATAGAGGGAAAAAAAAAACAAAAGGGAAAGGATCATATAAACTGAACTAATTAGATGCTCTTTTGCATGAAAAAAAAATGTAGAACTTTGAGCTGGTAGTATTTTGTGTTTCTTATGAGAAGCTTGTTGAGTTTTCCGCGATTGATTTTCATGCTTCTGTTGTTCTGCATAAGTGGGTCAAGGCTTTACATTGATAAGCTTAGTGAAACACCAGCACCATATAAAACGACTCGTGAACCACTTAAAACTGAGTGCATAACCACATGCTAACTCTGTGTAACTTGCTATCTTATAAAGTTCTGACTTGAATTTATTTTATTGATTTATCTCCCTTGGGATTGTGAATATTTCTTAATCTGTCATGAATTTATGACAAATCTTTCAAATGTACAATCAGTTGTACGATATTTCTGAATACTTTATTCTTTTGGTTTGCGTTTGAGTTGGGTTTTCAGGTTCAAGTAGGAGGCTCACCGGTCTATAAGATTGACAGGAAGTTGGGTAAAGGTGGATTTGGTCAGGTATTTGTGGGCCGCCGTGTTTCAGGAGGAAATGAACGCACGACTGGTCCTGGAGCTATGGAGGTAAATTTAGATTGGAATTCTTGTTACATAAGCAGTTAAATGATGTATGCCAGTTTTGATTTTTCACAAATAACATTGTTATGAATTCACTTGTGTTTTTACCAGGTAGCTCTGAAATTTGAGCATAGAAATAGCAAAGGCTGTAACTATGGCCCTCCCTATGAGTGGCAAGTCTACAAGTATGGATGTAAATCTGTTTTGGTATGAATATGTTGCTTTACTAGCATCATCTTATTTATGGAACTAAAACTTGTGATTTTTAATTGAACAGCACTCTTGGTGGCAGTCATGGAGTTCCTAAAGTACACTATAAGGGAAAGCAAGGAGACTACTATGTTATGGTATGACTGATACAATGACGTGCTTCTGTATCTTGATGATGCTACCCTGTTCTGGCATTTATCTTTTAATAATGTATTTGTAGGTTATGGACATTCTAGGGCCTAGCTTATGGGATGTATGGAATTCTTCGGGACAGTCGTAAGTACCTGAAGCTTATGAATTCTACTGAATATGTTTTCTTTAAATTATTTTTTAAGTCATGTCTTGTTTAAGTTTGCCTGGATTTGATATATTATACAATGGGGAAAATGTCTCGGGTATTCTATTTCTTCTTTTGCCTTTATTTATTTTTTTTTGGGTTTATTTTTTTTCCTGGGGTTTTTTTTGGGGAAGGGAGAGACTAATCAACCATCACACATTGATAGAGCAACTGAAAGGAAATATGAAACATCTTTCATCTTTTGCTGGATGATAGAAAAACCTGTCTTGTTTTCACCAATGCATAACCATAACAGGTTTGAGGTACACATATTAGATGATTAGGGCTAATCTCATCATGCCATATTATTGGGTAAGTGGTGCGCATAACTGTTTATGTGCATATTAGGTGGTTCATCTGGGAGGTACCATTGATTAAATCTTGCTTTCATTGAGTGTGTATTTGGGTAACGCAGACTCACCGTCAGCTTCAAGTCCCAGGTTGCTAGTCTAAAGGCTTTTATATGTTGCGATTCTCTAATTTAATTTGCTTTGTGTAGGCTATAGGAGATTTTTGTCGACTATTTTACCCAAAAAAAGAGAGGATAGAGATGAAGCTGAAAAAGGGAAAGAGAATATTGAAAACTAAGTGAAGAAATGACTTTAAATTGCAGAAATTATTAGTGCCACTGTTGACTTAGGAGCTATAGTTATATGCTTTTCACTTGTTTTATTTTTTTAGTGCTGAATCGGAGGTTTGTGTAAAAATGATCATATCCTTACCCATGTTGGACTTACATATTTTACACTTGCAATTGTATTGTTATAGGTGACAGAAGGATCATGACCCTCTCAATTTCAAAATCTTGGAATTTCAATAACAGACCATAAAATCATTGGGCATCATTTATTGGCCCAATGTATAGATCCCACTTTTAGCATTGATGATTAAAATTGGTAAAGTGCCTTGTATTAGGGGTGCCCAAAGCCCCTTCTTGAATAGGTAGGCATGTACTTACAAAAGATGTCCAGTGAAATTCTCTTTTGTCGTCATCACCACCCGGCCAAAAGTTAGCAAACCATTTTTTCCAAACTGGTCAAGAGCTCCCTTTGGAGATAATAATTAAATTCGAGACTTCCTTCTGGTTGTTGTTGTGAAAAGTGCTCAAAAAAGAGACCACAAGATCCACTTTCAAGTTGATTACCCATTTAAAAAAGGGCAACGTAAAAAAAATTGGTTTTAGATCAAACAGACCTTAGGTTACAATTGCAAGTGGGGTTTTGTTGAGGGAGGAGTCAAGATATCCATAGCCAAATCATGGATATTCAACCTTGGAGTTTGTGAATCTCCTGTGAGCAACAATCCATGCAAAGAGTTGCACCTTTGTAGGCACAGTCTAAATTCTTTTATTGGATGTTGGTGGATCCAAAACACTGAATCAAACAAAGATATAGAAAAAACTTCCATATTAACACTATCATCTAAATTTCCTGAAAAAAAGAGTCCCAACCAAACCAAGAGGACGAGCCTGCCATAATAACAATGGAAGTTTTAAGAACCCGAGACAAATGATATAGTCCACAAAACAAAGATTAAAGAGATGACTCACCTTTCTAAATATCTTAGTAAAAAGGAATTTTTGCTTTATACCCCACCCTCAAACCTAATATGACTCAAAAACAACTAAAATCTTGAGAAATTGATTTGCAAGTATATCAGAAAGAACCCCTAATCACTCTAGAGTCCCATCCATTCAATCGAGGATTATATTTCCTTTTAATGAAAGATTGCCACATAATATCTTGATAGGTTAGATTTTGTGATTGGAGAATGGCTGGTCTTTGTCATTAGGATTCTAGGATCCAATGGGTTTAAAGGTACAAAAAGATTTGGATGGAGGGAAGTGTTTACAATTTTTTTAGGATGATCTCGTAAGCTTGCTTTCAGAGATTTCAATTTCTAATAAACATGTTAGTGGAGTGATCCTCCTCCCAATTTCAGCACTGCACTTGATCAGTAAAAGATGTGGTTTGTACTTGGCATCTTTCTAGTATGGTTTCCTTTATCTTTCTCTCTCTCTCTTTGGTGTTTTGTGGGGGAGGAGGGCCATTTGCATTAGATATCTTGAATGTGATGCTGCTAATGTTTTAATCTTCCAACTATGCTCTCTCTGTCTCATTTTTTTTTTCTCCCGCCGCCGGGGGGGGTGTGGGAGGTTCATTTAGATGCCCTGTTTTAAGTTCAATATATGCATTATTGAATTTTGCCTGTCTGCTGCCATCTGTGCATGGATAGAATGATTAACCCCCCTCTCCCTCCCTTTGGACCTGCTCACTTTTCCAAGTAAATCTTACTTGCTCTCAGACGTCTTACTTTTTTAGCATTTACTTATGTCCACAGGATGTCATCAGAAATGGTAGCTTGTATTGCCGTTGAATCTTTGTCAATCTTAGAAAAAATGCACTCAAGAGGGTAGGTATTGCAATTTTCTCTTTTTAAGTTTATTTTTGAATGTGGCTTCCTTAGCTTTTTCTCTTAATCTATGGATTTTGGTGGGCTCTTTCCTGAGTAAAATTCTAGTTTATTGTGCCAATTTTCCAATGCATCACTTGTTCTAAAGGAGGACCATTGTTGATGTTAGTTATGTGCATGGAGATGTAAAACCAGAGAATTTTCTTCTCGGCCAGCCTTCGACAGCACAAGAGAAGAAGTTGTTTCTTGTTGACTTGGGATTGGGTCAGTTATTTTTAGTGACTTTTTTAAATGACATTATATTTTCTTTGATATTCCTTTCTAATGCTTCTAGTGACATGTGAATGGCAGCAACAAAGTGGAGGGACAGCGGTAATGGACAGCATGTTGAATACGATCAACGTCCTGATATGTTCAGGTGATTGTTTTGTTTGTATTCCTGGGCTTTATTTTGTAAATTCTACTCTTTTGACCGACCTTTGTGAAACCTTTACTTTGTATTATTTTGCAGAGGGACAGTTCGATATGCTAGTGCACATGCACACCTGGGAAGGACTGCCAGTAGAAGAGACGACCTAGAATCACTTGCTTATACACTCATTTTTCTTCACCGAGGCAGACTACCATGGCAAGGGTATCAGGTATGACATTACATCTTTGTCAGGTCTCTATAACATTTGGCAGAATTGCTTTGTTTCTAGAAAGCTTGGTTCCTCATATTTATGTTTTCCTTATTGGTTAGGGTGATAATAAATCATTCCTAGTTTGCAAGAAAAAGATGGCTACATCTCCAGAAATGCTGTGCTGCTTCTGCCCTGCACCTCTTAAACAATTTCTTGAGATTGTAGTGAACATGAAGTTCGATGAAGAGCCCAACTATATGAAGCTAATATCTCTGTTTGAGGGACTGATTGGACCGAATCCTGCTGTTAGGCCAATAAACACGGATGGTGCTCAAAAGGTGATTTCTTAAATACTTGAATTAGTGAGAATTTTAAATATTTTTTATCTTCCTTTCTTGGACTTCTATTAGAGGTTTATAGTTTGTCTGGTTAACATTGGTAGATCATCTATCAAGTTGGTCAAAAAAGGGGTAGATTGAATCTTGAGGACGAAGATGATGGGCAGCCTAAGAAGAAGGTTCGTAACGGAAATCCTGCAACACAGTGGATATCAATTTACAATGCCAGGCTACCTATGAAACAAAGGTAGAATTGTTTTCTATATACAATATTGTTGGCTGGATTAGAGTTTGCTCCATCATAAAACTTGTTCAGGCCCTTAGATGTTTGCTGTAGCCTGTATAAAGTTTGTCAGAATACCAGTAGAACACATGGGTTTTACAATGTCAGAAAGCTTTCGAGCCTGATTTGTTGTAATAGGATTTAAAGTTCACCTTCAGGATGGGACTGCAAGAGGCTTTAATGGGTCTTCGTATGGGCAGATTTCTCTTTATGATAACTCCATTCAAGGTGATCTTAGTTTGTAGGGTTTTGGTGACCATTAAAAAAAAAGTGTTATAAAACATGGACACATATGCTGACATTGGATATGAGCGCAACATGACCCAGACACGTTGACTTGAAAATTTCTGAAAAAGTAGGGCAAGAACACGCATGCATGCAAGGATCAAAATTTTGTTTCGGTCACCTAGAAAAGGAAAACATTTAGAACCATTTCGGAAACGGATAAAAATTTTGGGAATTTATTTTCAAAACATTGGCCGAAAATATACGTAACTCTTTGGAACACTTTGAAAAATTTTGAAATATTAATGAAAACATTGAAATTTAAACTTGATCACCGATTCACTTTGGTCTCCTTAGGTAAATCTTATATCTTATATCATCGTATAAATTTGTAGACTAATAGATCATAGAAATTAATATTTATCAATTTTTTTATCGACAAATATTGATTGCTTTCATCTGCTTAACTCTTAACAATTAGTTGTATACTCTCTCATGTATAATGCAGTCATATGTCAAATTTTCAAGGTTAGTTATTGTATAGCGATACATGTTTATTTTTGAGATGTATAAGATACATCACGAAAGTAGTATCGAATGCATTTTGGCAATTAAGATTTTATTTTCTAATTATAGACATAGTTATCAAATCAAGATTCTTATCAGTAATCGAAATTCTAGATTTGAAAATCACGAATCGTAAGATTTGACACGAAATTCGAACAAAGAAAAAAAAGACATGGGCATATTTAAAATAGGTAAGAAATTAAATATTGAACATTATTGTATTTTAAAAATAATCAATTGACAATATTGGCGTGATCACATCGTTTAAATGGAAAGATGGAGCCTTTATAAGTTTTTATAAAGCTAAACCTTTTTTTTTTTTTTTGAAGGAAATAAAGCTACACTTGAGTTTGTACTTTTGTTACTTCTTTCTTAATGAATAATAAATTGGTCCTTCAAAATGACCACGATGAAAGATGCATGATTTTTAACCAACAAATTGCTATTGTCTTCCTACCAATAAAGTTAAACTAAAATAGGAAAAATCCATATTGATTTGAACATGTAAACTTAGAAAATAACTTTACATATCGATTAACAAAGAAATTTTTGATAAAAAAACAAAAAACATAACATTTATTGAAGAAGAAGAAAAAGTATGGTATATTAGTGTTTGGTAGCTATTTTTGAAGAAGAAGGAGAAGCATATCTGGAGTGCAGGAAACATCGTTTCTGTGTGATGTTCATAGACGCTTGGACAAACGCGTAAGAGGCGGAGACGCGAGTTTTATATTTGAGGGTAAGTCTCTTCTAGCCAGACGACATCGTTTTGATTATATACCAGTCAAAATGACATTGTTTTACTAAAAATAGGGTTAAAAAAACGAATTGTACGATTCATTCAAGTCAAATTGAATCGTATGATTCTTGCAATTTAGGTGTGATTCTCGACCAAAACGAGTCTATGGTAAGGTATGAATCGAATCATGAATTGTATGATTTTAATAATACTAATTATAGACACCTCTGAAAGATTCTCGGGTGCGTGTTCTAGAGTGTCCAAGATGTATTGGTATCGGACACAAATCCAACACGAATACATCACCTTCTTAAGAATGTCCGTGTTTCTTAGGACAAAAGCCATATGTTCTAGCTTCACATATTTTATTTCCTGAGTTCCCTCCATTCTGGCCATGTGTGAATTATTTTTGAGGTCAACCAACCCATTCTTTGTTTAAAACTGTATTACTCCTTGTTTTTGTTATATTCTTCTTCATTGCATATGGTCTCAGTGTCTTCATTAAATTTTGTCACCTTGCATCAACTTTGCTAATTTTAACTTGGCACTGCCCCCACCTACTTGTGGAAGGGGAGGGGGAGGTGAGCACTCTCACTCTCTCTCTTTATTTGGTATGGACCAGGCAGCCTTCATACATGAAGAGGGGGAATAGGGAGGGGGAAAAGGGGGGGTTCCTTGAGGTTAAAGAGTCGATGCAACAGAAAAAGTCCACAAGTGGAAGCAGCTGATGCTTTGGTTGTGTTTTGTCTGCATGCCTGTTTATCTCATGCTTCTTATCTTTTTCTAATTTGCAAGTGCTTGTGTCCTCCTCAGCTGTTTCTCTCCAGTCTCCAGTTATCTCATCTGCCAGTTCATTATCATGGAACATTCTGTCTAAATTCATTATGTATAGTCTTCTGAAGCTGCAATTATGCTTTTGAAGATTTTTTTTCCCAGCTTGTTAAATGTGATGATGTTCACTCAACTACTGATAACTCAAGATAATATGGGCTACAGACATCAATCAAGTGCCTCATAGTTAGTCCCTTAGCTGTTACTGGTGTGTAGGACTGATTGAATCCTGCTGTCGTTAAAGGCTGAAGCACTTCCTTTTAGCTTTCTTAGCTAAGTACTAGAATTACTTTGTCAATCGATCAGTTTACTGCTACTACCTCTCAGCATAAGGCCCTTCTTTGTTTCAACATATGGCATAAGCTTATTGACTATGATAACTGCTAGCCTTTCATGTAATTCTTTCATATCCCATTATTAGGTACCATTATAATGTCGCGGATGCAAGATTGGGACAACATGTAGAGCGAGGAAATGCAGATGGTTTACTTATAAGCTGTGTGGCATCTTGTTCCAACTTATGGGCTCTCATAATGGATGCTGGAACTGGCTTCACAAGTCAAGTCTATGAGCTGTCACCTTTTTTCTTACACAAGGTTAACTTCTGTGTTCCCTAACTATCCTTTTGCTCGAGTGCTTCATTAATTTTAGAACTTGATTAAGTAAATTATTTGATGCTATTAAACTTACAGGAATGGATCATGGAACAATGGGAGAAGAATTATTACATCAGTTCAATTGCTGGTGCTAACAATGGAAGCTCTCTGGTGGTGATGTCCAAAGGTTTGGTTGAATTATTTTAAGTAGTTGGCGTTGATGAGATCTATGTGTACTATGCTATTTGCTAATGATGGTAACAGGCTTGAAATGTGACATTTTTTGGTGTATTCCTTTCAACACCAAAAGTTTCTTGTTTTGGGGTAAGTCAGTGTCAACACTTATTACTGTCGGTATGTATTGGGAGAGGGAGGCTATGCCTACATTCTACTGGCCGCCGCCCGTTCTTTTCATTATCCAATTTTGTGATTCAAAGGGTTGCACTGGCTACCATATTTGATGTCCCTTTTTGTAATAAGTTGATAGAATCTTTGCTTGGATTACTAGAATTAAATGAAAAGGCTATTACCAGGAGGTAATTCCACTTCATCAGTCTTTGCCATATCTATATATATATATATATATTTTTTTTTTGTTTTGACAAAGTGGTGCCTTTTAGACTTAAACCTATGCTCCCATGCTTGCTGCGCAAGCAGTATACCATATTCCAAGCTCTGACCCTTTTCAATAGGAACTAGGTAAGTTGTTGCTTTTACTGTGGATAATAAGAGATATTTGATAACTGGTTGTCCTGGCCACCTTTCCTAACCATCTGTCTTTCCTTATTGAATTTTATGAGAAACTATTTCAAATCTCTAGACTTACAGTTGATACGCTGTAGATCTCTTAATTGAGATGGTTGCAATTCTTCCCCTCACACTCACATGTGGTATCTGGCTGTGAGGGCTTAGGATTTACTTGCAAGTGCTCATTTTTGGTTGCTAAACTGAGAATCATTGGCTGAACTTTGTACTTTCAAATTCCTGCAGGCACCCAATACTCGCAACAGTCTTACAAAGTAAGCGACTCCTTTCCTTTCAAGTGGATAAATAAGAAGTGGAGAGAAGGGTTCCATGTGACCTCTATGGCAACTGCTGGTAGCCGATGGGGTGTGGTCATGTCTCGCAATGCTGGCTTTAGTGATCAGGTTGTGCTTCTTGTTCCAATGTATTCTAGTCACTTGCTTTCTCCTTGCAATAAGTTAAGGACGGGTTGCTTGCCATTTTTAAATCTAATCTGTTTCAAAATACAAAAAAGAAGGCAATCAGTAAACTTTTTCTGTGTACATTTTTTTTTTTGAGTTGAGCATAAAAAATTTCCTGAAGACCTGTTATATGCAGTAAACTACCTCAGTAATACTTAATCGAGTCTCAGCGTGGCTATGCTTCCAAAGTTTTGAGGATCTCCATTCTGAGAATCTTCAGAAAATCAAAAGGAACAAAGGCAGAAAAAAGTGAAAACTGGTTTATGAAACCCATAGCAAATATGCAGTATGCTCTCACAGTGCTCCAATGCTAAATCTAGGCTCAAGTGGAAAGCTGTCCCTTACTGTTTCATATTGTGGGGGGCAAGAAAGGACATAATGTCTTTGTAATATTCTATTAAAATATCTTTTTCATGGTGTGGGGTGGGGCTTGTTCAAAGTAGTTTATCATCAAATGGTTAAATGGAGATTGAAAAATAAAATGGTGAAGTATTTCCACTGGAGGTTGTCCTATCTGATTTCTTATAAATCAAAATGAGTGTTTGTTATACCTCGTGACCAGTTGGGGTGGATCCATATGTGTGTGATGTCTCAATAGGTCTCTGGATTAATATTTGCGCACTCCTACCAAATGTTTATTTATTAATTCAGTGTGTTTTCAAGCCGCTCTTGCTAACTCATCTTTGGTTTCATAGGTTGTGGAGCTTGATTTTCTGTACCCAAGTGAGGGCATCCACAAACGCTGGGACAATGGTTACCGTATTACCTCAACAGCCGCTACCGGGGATCAAGCTGCTCTTATCTTGAGTGTGCCCAGGCGCAAACTTACTGATGAGACTCAGGAGACTTTACGAACATCTCAGTTTCCAAGCACACATGTTAAGGTGAACACTTGATGGAATTCATGATTTGTGCGAATTGCGCTTCTCATGTATCGAACTTGTTTTCAAAGTGCATCCATCTCTTCCTTGCTTTAGCATGGTCGCAAAAGAGATTTAGAGTTGACATTTGTCTTTTGTACTGAAATAAGGAAAACTTTTTTTGCCTTTTGGTCCAACATATGAGGAAACTTTTTTGCCTTTTAGGCTAGTAAAGGGTTTTGTGATGGTCTTGAATCTTGCATCCTTATATATGGTCTACCCACGGTTTTTATTTTGGCTTTTTTGGGGATATGAGTTTATCAGAGTTTTAACCCCTAATTTAGTAGTCAACATGCTGCCACGTGAAGAAGCGAATGTTTTTTCCTGCATCATGCTACATTTGATTTGAGATGCAGAAGATCCATTTTTTGCAAGTTTCTATGCTCGTCAGCCAATTATTTCACCTCTTAGTTTTAATGTGCCATAGTCTTTGGTCATATAAGCCTCTATGGAACTAAGCCATTGTTTGAAAGTGGTTTGAATACTTACAAGAATTTGTTTTTTTGGAGAGACTACTTCCCTATATTGGTTTGCTTGCTTAGAACTTTTGACAGAATTTTTTATAGGTTCAGCTATAATCAGTTTGTCAATGGGTAGGTATCTAGTGTTCCTTTTGGACCTGAAAATAGGTGGTTCTGAAATGGCGTTAAAAGGTATAGATTGGGTTCATGAAATCCCTATATAAAGTTGACTGCATATTGATCACTTTAGACCTATGAAGCACAGATACGGATACGATACGATACGGATACAGCGATACGTCAAAATTTAAAAAAATGATACGAATATTGCTAGGATACGTCCATAAAATTATATTTTTTATAAAATTTTATTATTATATTTAATATAATAATTATGATTTATAAAATAATAAGTGAATCACACATTTATCAAAGATATATAATAATAACTAACCATTCATTCATACATTCTACACAATACACATGTAAATTGCATAATATCAAAAACCAAAATGTTTGCATACCCAAAGAAAAAAGATATCATGTTCATGCATAAACAAAAGAAACAATCCTATTATAAGTCAAGAAGCAACAAAATAGTTCCTTAGTTTGTCTACAATATTCAAATTTCATTGTTTCATGGTTCCTATATAACACACACACACAAACAGAAGAAACCTTGCAACAAATCCCTAATTCCAAACCCTAGTTCTAGGCTCAAGTTTCTGTGCAAACTCAATTGCAAAATAGGACTGCTAATCATTGGTAGAAATGCAGAAGTAAGACCTAGAGAAAACAGAAAGTAGAGAGAGAGAGAGAGGAGAAATTGCTGGAACAGTAGGGCACCTGCCTACCTGGACAGAGGAGTTGAGAGAGTCGACAAGCCCAGCGGATGTTGTCAGACACAAGCAGGACGCCTGAGAGCTGTTGTTGTTCATCAGAGAGAGAGAGAGAGAGAGAGAGAGAGAGAGAGAGAGTAGAGGAGAGGAGAGAAGAGAGCTGTTGAATTTGACTGATCAATTGGATCTGTATGCTTAGGGTTTTTGTTTCTTATTTTTTTTTGCAAATAAGGGCCTAATTTGTTTTGCTCCGGTACCCTTGTCTTTTCTAAAAATATGCATAACACCCCGTTGTATCCTATCTCGTATCCCACCCGTATCCCAGCGTATCTTGACGTATCCCAACGTATCCAAAATTAAAATTTTCTATTTTTTAATAACGGATACTTCCTAGCCGTATCCTGATACGGATACTTCGTCTTTTTTGAAGTATCCGTGCTTCATTGTTTCAGACTAAGCAGCATAGTGTAATACTGTCAAAACTGGGATCAATTATTGGTCTTGTTTAGTTTATATTTTCTTTTTTAGAGGAGTTATTGGCTATAAAAATTTTTACATCTGTTTTAATCTTATTTGCAGGAAAAATGGGCGAAGAATCTTTATCTTTCTTGTGTGTGCTATGGACGAACAGTATCTTGATTCCTGTCTAGCATGGGGGGATATTGTGCTTGGCAAAAGAAACAGATCAGAAGCCAATTTTGTGTATCATCCATCTGTAATAGTTTTCTTTATTCCGTCATTGTCCCTTTAATTTTTGAACTGTAAAAATTGATTGGTAGGTGTATAGGTGCATCAGAAAGACATCACATTCACCTGTACAAATTATTTATATTGAAGCCGTATTGTTGGATAGTCCACAAAGCTCTTGCATACTGNTTGGTAGGTGTATAGGTGCATCAGAAAGACATCACATTCACCTGTACAAATTATTTATATTGAAGCCGTATTGTTGGATAGTCCACAAAGCTCTTGCATACTGCCATTCATGGAATGCCTCTGTTTTCCTATTGACGTTACTTGATGGTCGCTAGGTGAAAATGTTTTCAGCTGTTTGAAGAAAGGTGGTGTCCGAGATTAGAGATTGAATAGAACCTTTAGCAGGACATAGTTGGAACAGTAGCAAAATGTCTTGCATCTAAGGTGGTAAGGAACAAGTTCTTTGCTTGGTCAGTTTATTCTTAACCTTGCTCTCTTTGTTACTGTAACGATGATTATGCCATTCGGGGAGAGACTTTTGCTTTGTGGGAGAATTNTGTTACTGTAACGATGATTATGCCATTCGGGGAGAGACTTTTGCTTTGTGGGAGAATTTTAGTAATGGAAAATAATGTTTAAGCCCTTGAAATTGGCATCAAAGTGCAAGTGTCGGTGACAAGTGAAAATGGAGGTTTTTGCGCTGACGACGACGTTATGAGGGTTGAAGGGGATGGGTCATCCCATGCTTTACCATCATACTGGATGAGATCTTCCAGCATTTCAGGTTCTATATACCCAAGCAGTGATTCAACAACTATCATGTTTGGTTAATGTCGTTTTTAAGTTTTGGTGAACAGGGTTCGGCGGGCTTGTGTGATGTGTTAACCTATTTATTTGACAGATTAGGACTGTTGGTCCTTTCTTGATTTTGTATCTTGTTCTGGGGTCGTATTCGTATTTGGATTTCTTGCCTAGTCCTGCCATGGAATGAGTTCATTTATTTCTCCGAGTTGTAGGAAATACTGCAATAGGGTTCTGGTACAAGAAACAACCGTATGTATGTCAGACTGATGTATTGTTAGATACATGGGAACTTATTTATTAAAGCAGATTTCAGAGATCTATCCTATGTGATTAAAGCTCGTTAAGGTTGGATTTATATGCAATCGCAACACTATGTTAATATCATGTCAAGTTGATGATCTTGTTAAAAATCGGCACTCCTTCCAGTTGCCAGTTGAGTTATACTCTCCAACGTTTGTGCTANTGATGATCTTGTTAAAAATCGGCACTCCTTCCAGTTGCCAGTTGAGTTATACTCTCCAACGTTTGTGCTACTCATTTGTGGGATTGTTTAAGCTGATTCTTTTTTTTTTTCCTCCTAATTTTTTGTTTTTTAGAAAAAAAAAAGAAGAATTATCTGCCCTTTGTCCATGTTGTGTTTTTCCAGTTGCCCCCCACGCAATAGGTTGAAAAATTCCCATCGTTAGCAATGAGCAATTAAAATTGAAAGAAAAAAACTAGAGAAATTTCCTGGTTTTTTTTGGGTCACTTTATAAACAGAAATATATAAAATTACACAAAAACAACTATCTAGCTCAAACTAAACTGAGACAAAAACCCCAGCATCAGCCAATATCCTCTGTTGCTTCTCTTTCTACAATTCTCCTGATATATGGTCCATAGGGTTCACCAGCCAGTGAGNAACTAAACTGAGACAAAAACCCCAGCATCAGCCAATATCCTCTGTTGCTTCTCTTTCTACAATTCTCCTGATATATGGTCCATAGGGTTCACCAGCCAGTGAGGGTAGATGCTGCCTCTTCTAGCAAGAGTTGTAAAAAAGGTTGCTAACTGATTTGATCCTCTGTTCACCGCTTGAAATTGGATTGAAGGGATCTTACTGGATTAAGACCAAATATCCCTTTGAATTGGCTCAACCTCTCTAAACAGAGAATCTGACCCCTTTTGGATAGCTTCAATCAGCAACTTGGAATCCGATTCAACAATAACGGCTTGAAATCTCTCTTCAACTGCCATGGCACATGCCATTCTAACCACCCATGCTTCTGCAGTTAGAGATGATGAAACAGGCATTGTTCGAGAAGTTCCAGTAATCATATTCCCCACCTGGTTTCGGACAACGACTCCATAAGTTGCTCTTCTAGCTCTTTCCATAAAAGCTCTATCACAATTAATTTTGAGCCTGTCTTGTGGAGGCGGGTTCCATTCCATCTGAACTTCTTGTCCTTTGCTTTGATGGGTTTCTTCTATCCATCCTGCACTGAAAGGCTTCAGCTGTTTCAAACATTGCTCTCTCTACTATAGCAGAAGAATTCAATTTATGTTGATTAAACAACCAATTATTCCTCTAACACAGGCAAGGATTGTCTGTCGATTTGGATCCTCCGCACCCCATTTTTTCTCCATCTCAAACTGCTCCATTAGCCAAGTCTCCATTCTAGAAACTTTGTTCCTGTCCACCCTTATTTGTAGAGGTGACTTTGTCCACACACCATTCACCCAAAGGACAAAACAAAAACAGATGTTCAATTGTCTCCTCCTCTTCCCCACAAATAGGACACACTAGACTGTGGTTAACACTTCTTTTCCATAGATTTTCTGTAGTAGCCGAAACTCCCACTGCCACTTTCCATACAAAAGATTTAATCTGCGTAGCTTCAATCCCCCATATCAGCTTCCAAATACCTTCTGGAGGGTTATAAGACGAATTGTCCTTTGATTTGAATTTCTACTGCTCATTCTCTGTTGCTAGACTTGATCATGATACCCATTCTTTATAGAAAATAACCCATTCATAGTATGTGCCCATCTTATCCTATCCTCTTGCTCTGTTTCACACAAGGGAATGGATAGAATCTCTTCTGATAAATGTGGGGGGAACACCTCCTGAATTACCTTTGCTTTCCACCTTTTCACAAGGAGGTGGATCAACTCTTGTACCCTCATTTGTTGTGATTAGTATTTATAAGTTTCCTGCTTCTTGGAATACTTGGATCCTCCCATATACTTATCTGCTTTCCATCCCATACTTGCCAAAAAATCTCATGTGCCAAAACATCCCTACCTTCAAGGATACTCCTCCAAATCCTGGAACTATTTGACTTGGATTTCACTTGCCAGAACTATCTATTTGGAAAATATTTAGCTTTTAGCACTTTTCCCCAGAGAGTATGGGGATTGGGCAAAGTCTCCACACTTGTTTTGCCATAAGTGCCTTATTGAACTTCTTCAAGTCTCTAAATCCCATGCCCCCTTCTTGCTTCCTTTGGGTCATGTACTCCTAGTTTTTCTAGTTAAATACCCCTATCACCTGAGCTCTTACTCCAAGACCTAGAAATACTGGCAGTTAGCTCTTAGACACATAGACTTTGGCAGCTTAAAGATGGTCATTGCATACGACAATATAGCTTGAACCACAGCCTTGATTAATGTCTCCCTCCCCCCATGGTTAAGAAACTTTTCCTTCCACCATGCGATCTTGCTTAGGATCCTTTCCTTTAACCAAGCCAAAATTTGCCTTTTGGACCCCCCCCCCCCCATTC